ATTATAATTATAGATGATAACAACAAAAAATATTTATGATACTGAAAAATAGAACAGAAATACAATAGAAGGAATAGAAAGTTATAGATGATACATTTCCTGAAGGTAAACAAACTAACCACATTACTTTCCAGAATCTTCTCATCGTTGTCCCATTCCAGGTCAGCATCATAGTACTCAGCAGTTTTGACTTTTCTCTCAGCACAATACAAAACATGACCCTCGCCGTGAGAAAATCGCAAAGAAACGAAGGGAGCTGCAAGAAATGTCTCCAAGATTAATCAAACACATTCCAGTTCTGTTGAAAAAAGTGAAAGAAAGATTCTAGAAAACTCTTTCTGACACAGCGAAGATATAGAGAATAAAAAATTGATATCTCTCATACCAGCAGTGCAAAGCTCAGAAGTGCGTGAAAGGAAGCTAATTGAGATATGTGCATTTAAAAAAAAACAAGTGGAAATCCCTTGTATTTCGCAAACGAAATGGTGACTAAAGAGAAAAGAAAAATTTCGGTATTTTTGAGAAGTAATGGTACAATTACCCGATATTTTTAAAAACAAACAAAGGTTTTGAATACCTGAGCCTCCTCCATATATGATTCCATGCTTCTTTTGACCACTCAGATCAGAACATAAAACCTCCACGTGCTCATTTTGATCAAAGACCTGAGATGATAGATCTTTCATTCTTTGTGGTCTGAAAAACCACTAACCCTCAGATATTGCTTCTTTTCCTTTCCGTCTGGAATCGTAATAATCTGAGCCACCATGGAGTTACTTGGTGAATAAGCAATTGCTTGCGCTCTAAAAACATAAACTTGATTACAGATTTTTTCTATACCAGACTAAGGAGAAATTCTTACTCGAAACTTGCGAGAGGAAGAGAAGTTGTAGATATCAAACGAAGTTCTTTTGTGCCATCTATGTGCTCAAGCACAGACGAACGCTGGGTCCTAGTGCTCTTTTTCAGAGACAAGGCATGGTTTTCCCAGATAGAAGTCACCTGAGCGAGATAATATTAGTTTTCCCGAGATCAGAAAGAAGACATCTTCCTTCTTGTAGCAGCACCTTAAAAAGCTTCTACTACACGCTCTTTGCAGAGATAAA